TGGTGGGTAACACAGCTCAATGTGAAATGCATGAGAGCATTGCCACCATCTTCCTGCCCACAGCTTAGACACACATCCCTTTCCATTGAGCAATGGTTCAATCAATTGTAGGAGCAGAGTTTAAGCAGCGGCTACTTATCGATCTGCAAACCAATCAAGGTGGTCGTACCAAGTGCTGGACCAAGCACTAGACCAAGCACTAGGCCAAGTGCTGGACCAACCATGGACGTACAAACACTTGAACTCAGACTCTGTGTTAGCACAAGATCACAAAGATCGATTCAGATGAAGAAGGTTCTTTGGTCGACTTGATCTCATTCTTCCAGGTATGGAAGGTGTTCACCCAGATATTCCATTCTAAGCAACACTTCCAGCCTACCTCTCTGGAATTCCATCTTGGTGTCCTTCCAACTGGCTCTCTCCCTTAACTATAAGTTGGCATATGGAATGAACTCGAGTGGCGGAATCAAGGAATTATTTATTGGGTTTCAAAAAGTAATGCACTTAATTTTCACATGCACTCCAGTGCATACTTTTGAAATGGACTTTGTCAGGTTTCTGGAAATTAAGAAAATCCAGAGTTATTAAGTGATGAAATAGTTGTGTCCATTAATTTATTTGGGAGGTTGGATGGGTAGTATAATCGACTAATGGTCTACTCCTGCCTGAAACAGTTACTGTGGTTGTAGAACAACAAGAACAGCAACAAAGTTACATTTGTAAAGCACCTTTCACGTCGGGGGTCGGCCCAAGGCGCTAACAGTCAGGGATGAGGACCCGAGTGTGGGGGGGGGGGGCAGGGCTGGGATTAGGGAGGACAGAAGTGGGAGGAGGGCAACTGAAGCCACAGTTAAAAAGGAGGGTCTTGAGTCGTGCTTTGAAGGAGGCAAGATTGGGAGCAAGATGAAGGGATTGTGGGATGGAATTCCAAAGAGTTGGGGCAGAGAGGTTGAAAGCCCAGTCGCCATATTAGGATGGGTTGGGCAGGAGACCTGGAGCAGGCTGGAGCCTGCTGAGTGGAGGGAGCGGACAAGTTGATGGGGGTCAGCAAGTCAGAGATGTAGGAGGGCCTTAAAAGTGAGGAGATGATTTTGGATTCTATCCTCTGGGGGTGGGGAGCCAGTGGAGCCGGGTGAGGGTGGGGGCGATGGGGTCACGGAGTCCGGTGCGGGAGAGGACAAGAGCAGCAGAGTTCTGGATGATCTGCAGCTTGTGGAGGGAAGAGTTGGGGAGGCCGATAAGGAGGGAGTTTCCGTAGTTGAGTCTTGAGTTGACAAATGTGTGTATGCGGGTTTCAGCGGCCTGAGGGGTGATGCAGTGGTGGAGTCGGGCAATGTTGCGGAAGGTGGGGGAAGGCAGAGTGGGTCATGGCACGGATATGGGGAGAAAGGACAGTTGAGGGTCGAACAAGATGCCCAGGTTCCTGACTGGTTTGGTGAGGTGGAGTGTGCAACCGTGGGTGCTGATGCGGTCAGTGCCTGAGGTGCTGAGGCGCTGGCGTGAGCTAATCAGTAGGGCCTCGGTCTTGCTGACATTCAGCTATAGAAAGTTGGCTCCCATCCAGGACTTGATGTCAGACAGACAGTTGGTATAATGACCAAACTTCTTTCCCATGAAGAACAATGGATTGTTTAGGTGTCTGGTCTGGGTTCGTTATACCTAATCGTACCTGTAAAGTAAATGGAGGAGGATGCTTCTCCTCCATTTATTGCTGGTGATTATTCCCATCGTCAGTAAATTTATTGACTTTGCTGGGGAAGCACATTATTATCAGTTAGTAATGTTAGAGTGTATAATGTGATTTTCTCCATGTTAGCATTGACCAATTGAGTAAGATTACTTCACTCAATAAATTTACTGACGAGCAAATTTTCCTAGCTTTGAATTTAGATTCGGATGAGAAGACACCCTGGGAGAGTGGCCGAAAGTGGATTTGAAGCCAGTGGGCCGGAGATAATCAGGAGTGGTGGTGACGCAAGATTAGTGTGGGAGCCGGGTCAGTGTGTGAGGTGAGTAGTGGAGGCGAGGCCTCTGGGAGCGAGGATGGCAGGAGCCAACAGGTAACTGCAGGGCCGAGGTCTTGGTGATTGAGTGGCGAATGGCGGCCATTACTGGGTTCAGGCGGAGCTGCCATTTCACAATTTACCACTTAAACCTCCACCCGATATCACTTTCGCTCGTCAAGTTGAATTCCTGGAACCAGGGAATCTTGGAGGCCAAGGACAACCCCAGGCTTCTCTTTTCCACTGCAAACCAACAACAACAACAAAACATTACATTTATAGAGCGCCTTTCACGTCAGGAGGATGTCCCAAAGCGCTGAAAACCGGCTCCTCCGTCCACCCTCTGACATCTCACCACTCCTCTCCTCCAACTCCAACTATGAGGAGATGCTGGATTTCCTTGAGACCAAAATCGAGGGAATCCGTTCAGTCACCTCTGCCCTCCAACCACCACCCCATCCCCATCTCTCCCTCATCTTCTGGCCCCTACCATCCCTCCCTCCACACCTTCGAACCTGTTTCCTCCTCTTCTCTCATCCATCACTACAACCCACATGATGCCCACCACCTGCTCCCTCAACCCCACCCCTTCTCTTCTCCTCACCTCCCAGCTCCAATTCCTCGCCCCTTTACTCTCAGTCCTTGTCAACCTCTCCCTGTCAACTGTCACCATTTCCACCCCCCTAAAAGCAGCTATCTAAAAACCCCATCTTAAAAAAACCTTTCCTCGACCCATCCCTGCTCATCTCCAACCTCCCTTTCCAACGTCCTTGAAAGAGATGTTGCTTCCCAACTTCACTCCTTCCTCTCCTGACACTCCCGTTACGAACACCTCCAATTGGGTTTCCATGCTGCCCACAGCAAGGAAAAAGCCTTTGTCAAGGTGACAAATGACATTCTGTCCATCTGTGACCAGGGCTCCCTTGTCTCCTTGTCCTCCTCAACCTCTCTGTGCCTTTGACACTGTGAACCAATTTATCCTCCTCCATCTCTTCTCCTCTCACCTTAACCTTCAAGGTTCTGTCTCGAATGGTTCAGATCCTATCTCTCACACTGGTTCCACTTTGTCTCCACAAACGGCTTCTCCTCCAGCCCCTGCCCCATCTTGTGTGGTGTTCCTCAGAGCTCTGTACTCGGTTCTCTCCTCTTCAACGTGTACATGCTCCCTCTTGGTGACATCATCCGTATACATTGAGTCATCTTGCACATGTACGCGGATGACACCCAACTCTATCTCTCTGACTCCACCCTCAACACCAGGACCACTGATGTCCTGTCTGTCTGTCAGACATCAAATCCTGGATGAGAACCAACTTTCTACAGTTGAACGTCATCAAGACCGTGGCCCTCCCGATTAGCTCACGCCAAAGCCTTCGCATCTCAAGCACTGGCAGCATCAGCATCCATGGATGCAAGCTCCACCTTACCAAGTCAGTCAGGAACCTAAGCATCTTGTTCAACCCTCAACTGCCCCCCATTTCTGTGCCATGACCTGCACTGCTTTCCCCCACCTCCGCCACTGCCTCAGGCCACCGAAACGCTCACACATACCTTCATTATATCCAGGCTCGACTCTGCCAATGCCCTGCTTGGTGGCCTTCCCAATTCTTCCCTCCACAAGCTGCAGATCATCCAGAACTCTGGAACTCCATCCCACATTCTCTTTGCCTCGGTCCCTCCCTTGCCTCCTTCAAGGCAATCCTCAATGCCCTCCTCTTCAACCATGCCTTCAGCCACCCTCCTACCTTCCACTCTCTCTGATTTCAATCCCCCTGCTTGGGTGTTAATCCCTGACTATTCAGCGCCTTGGGATGTTCAAATGTATTTTTATATTGTATTTTTGGTATAGAATTAGATTTTCCCTAGATAAATTTTCCTAGATTTGCTGATGGCTCTAAGCTATACGCCTTATAGTCCTAGAATTCCACGTAAGATCATTTTGCCTGAAAATATAAGGAGAGATTTGGGAGAGATATTTTTAAGAAAAACTGACTTCCAAGTTCAGATTGAGTTTAAGAACCTTCCACAATTCTGCGCAATCTTCAATTGAAAGGCACAAAATGGTCTTATAGACTAAGACAGAATGACTGTTGTGCCTGTGTGGCCTGATAACAACAACAACTTGCATTTATTTTAGGTCCCTCACATAGGATATCGCCCCAGAGTGCTTGACAGTGACGGAGCATCATGCAGAGCACGGTTGAAGAGGAAGGTCTTCAGGCATGACCTGAAGATGGGGAATGAAGGGGCAAGGTGAAGGGACTGAGGGAGAGTGTTCCAGAGTTTCAGGGGGTAATAGTTAAAAATATTGCCGCTGATGGTGGAACGAGGGACACGAGGGACAAGCATGAGGCCGGAGCCAGTCAAGTGGAAGCAACAGGTAGTGGGTTGGGCAGTAAGCAGGTCGGAGGTACAAGGGCATGAAGGGATTTGAAGACGAATGTGAGGATCTTGAAATCAATGGGTTTGCTGACGACCGGTGTTTTGAATTGGAGACTAATTGTTAGTACAATTGTATTCTCAGTTTATATAAAAGTGATTGGGTGACAAGAAGGCTGATAGGTGAGATAATATCAATCAACACAGACTAACCGCAATGCTTGAACGTTATCTACCAGTGCATGTAGAATTTGAAAGAAGTGCAATAAAATAAATAAAAGACACTTTGTAAAAATAAGAGGAAATGCAGTATTTATTGGATTGTAAAATAACATTGTTTATGCTTGCAAAATGTTTCTATTCAAATAAAGTAATTGCACATTTCTGGCCAATCCAGCAATGATCAATCATCATCCCTTTACTTTGTTCTTACATGTTTGCATCTTTCTATATTGTAGAGCGTAGTTGAGTTTGCAGTATAAGCGACACTATATTGGGTATGGCTCATTAAACTATTTAAAATACTCTTCAAAGTAAACAATTAAATTCAAACCCCAAAGCTGTTCTTGTTTTGCTGCCAAACGCATCTCATTAAACAGGACCAAAAGCAAAATGTACCTAGTAATCAGGTTGTGAGATTGGAGCTGTTATCTCCTTAATCCAGTCAAGATATTTATTGGTCAGTGCTGTGTAAATGCCGGGATATTTGGCATTTCCACATCCCTCACCAAAAGAAGTGATTCCGCTGTACTTATTGTTACATATGAGCGGGCCACCTGAGTCCCCCTGAAATAAAAAACAAGCATCTTATTTTGTACGTGAAGTATTCATCTCTGGATTTTCAATATATAAATCTGGCACTAAATATTACAAGTTAAAAAGTTGTAGTGGAAAAAATTCAAAAACAATCACTTTTTTAATAATAACAACGACAACAACTTGCATTTATATAGCACCCTTTGTGTAGGATTACGCCTGGGAGTGCTTCACTTCGAGTTGCAGGTTTAGACGCTGAACAAGCGAGAAAAGACCAATTTTATTTAGGAATTGTTGGCCAGGATCCCAGGAGAAACACCTTTCACTTTTCAAATAACTCCATGGGATGCTGAAACCAGCTGATGGGAGAAACTATTCTTCAGAAATTGGAGGGTCATTCAGCCCCAACCAGTCATTAAATATTAGATACAAAATGATCCAAATTCTTGGCCTTGGAATAATTGATAACCAGCATTTATGCTTACTGGTAATTACTATTATTATTATTATATATCGCAGGTTTTCCTCCTATAAATGCAAACTTTGTAGTTACGCGAAGATCTAGACGTACCTTGCATGCATCGTTACCATTCTTGTCACCAGCACAGAGCATGTTTGCGGTTACTTTAGGTTTGTCGTTATAGTGGTCCTTGTCGTTACATGTCCCTCTGTCAACGATGGTTATGTTTACTTCCTTTAGCCTATTTGATGGGGTTTTTGAGTTTTGTTTTGTAATTCCCCAACCTGCGACAGTGCAGTGAGTGCCAGCTTTCAAATCTGAGTAACGTTTAGGCAAGCGTAAGATGTACACAAACTTGTTTATATCTACTGCTCGGTCCAGCTGTAATAAATGGAAAAAATCATATGTAATCTGCCCAAACCTAAGAAATCACCTTTTACATACAATATTTTGTGATTAATAGTCATAAATATGTTTACAATTTTCTTTTCCTTTTAGCTTGAAGTAAATCAACATCAATTCAGATTCTAACAAGTATTCAGACTCTGTATTGCTGACCTAATCTTCCCTCATTATGTTAATCAATTTTACAATTGGAATCCCTTGTATGATTAACTTCACTACTTCACCCAGTCTGTCAGCAAATTGATTGTTGACCTCCGGATCCCTTCACTGTTTCACCCTTCCCTAGATATGACATCTCCTCCAGCAACACTTTCCCATCCATGTTCTTTGTTCCTCATCTCTGATACACGCAACAGTGATCTACGAACAGCTGTGAAATGAATGAGCAATTGTTGGGCAAGACACCAGGAGAGAAACATCATATTATTTTTGACAGTGCCACGGGAATTTAACATCCACCTGAATAGGAGCTTGGTTTAAAGACTTATCCAAAGGACCGGACATCTAACAATAGTGTGCACCTCTGGAACTCTCACCTCTGAATCAGAAAGTTTTAGGTTCAAGCCCCATATCAGGTGTTCAAACTCACAGTCTATAGCTGACACTCCAAATGAATTGGAGTGATGGCCGATCAGAGTTGTTAATAATAATCCGGAATTGCAAACAGTGACTGCTGTTGGTAATTTGAAGTGTGTCATGTTGACCTGTGGAAACTCCACTCTATTACAATGTATTTCTTATTCCTGTACTTTGATTTTGAACTGCTGTTTATGAGATCCGACCGTTCACACATTGCAAAATATTACTCTCCAAAAAGACAAAATGAGATAGATTGTGAGTATGGCTCTTGCCTTTTAGGCCTGTCAAAAATGTAAGTGCACATTGACAAGTATTAAAACAAATTCGCAAACCTGGAGCAGCATAATGTCATTTTCCGTGGTATTTCTATCAAAGCATGGGTGTGGGAATTCCTTTTTGATCTCAAACACTTGTTTAGCTTTCGTATTCTCACAAAGTGAATCAATTCCAAGAACCACGGAATCCAGCTTAGCCTTGTCACTGCATTTGATTTCAAAAGAAAAAAGACACGTTCTTAAGCATTATTAGGTAACTGAAACATGTCACAAGAAGAGTGACCTTCAAGAAACAACACTTGGATAAGATTCTACCAAATTCTGTCGCTCTCATTAATATGCTTTCCCTCACAGTTATACTGAATGCGAGAATTTGTCATATGTTATTCCCAGGTTATTCTGCAGGTAACAAGGATCTCATACTTCACTACTTCATCTGTTCTTAGCCTATACCAGCAGCAAAGTCAGATGGAAGAAGCATGTGTCTTCAATCTATTATTATGTTTTCTATATGTATGTCTGTAACTTACTCAGCGCAGTGTGCCGCAGTCAGTACCCAGGCAGGTTTGATCAATGCTCCTCCACAGTTATGCTTTCTGTTAACCTGGATGGATGCCATGTAAGGTCTTGAATGAGACGGAACATCATGACCCCCAATGATTTCCACACAACCATCTTTAAATTAAACACAGAGAGGATATTACAGTATTGATGTGGGACACAGCTGGAATTCAATACATCCAAAGCAACTGCATGTTACATGTTTTTAAAATAAATAAACAAATGTTATAACATTCACGAACATTATGAAGGAAAACAATTTTCATCATGATGATGTGGTTTATTCAGACTTGTGGCACAAGGCTTATCTTTTTAAACAGGACCATGGGAACTTCAACATCCACCTCAACAGGCAGATGGGACCTTGTTTAACTTACGATCCAAAAGTCGGCAGTTCTAACAATGCAGTGCACCCCCAGCACTGCATTAGCATGTCAATCTAGACTATGTGTTCAAAATCCTGACGTGGGACATTGAGATCCATTAATTTGACAAGGCACTGGATCAAATGCAAGTATGATTGCCATGGTATTAACCTACTGTGAATACTACTCCTGATATCATATCTTGTACACAGAATTGTTTTAGACTTCTAATAAGTTGGAAGATCTATGAAATAATTAGAAACAATTTTTAAAATAAATCAAAAGCACATATCTCATGTGCATTATTCTGAATATGCAATTGTTCTGAAATTTGTTAATAGGCAAATGGCTAAAGAGCAATTATAATTCTTGCATTTTTTGAGATAGCGCCTTATCACATCTTCTAGACGCCTCAAAGAGCTTCAGGAATATACTGTAAAGTAAATTGACTGTGTATTTTGTGGGCGAAACTCGGCAGCCAATTGCGCTCAGCAGTATCAGCAGTATCCCACAAACAGTGGATTGAGTGGCAAAATTATTATTATTATTTTTTGAAGGGATTATTACCCCCGGAAAAGCGATCTGCCAATCTACTGTCAGCCGGGTTCCTACCTACTGCTAGGTAAACAGAGGCGTGTGGATTAAGGAAACTTGCTCAACATTTCGGTCTAATAATAAATGTATATAAAGCAACTTATATCATTCACAAACCTGTTGTGTCCTACATTTGAATATAATAATACTTAGCATCATACAAATGATCTGGAAGATTACGATTATACTTACAGCCTGGTGTTAGCGAGAAAATAATGGTCAAGGAGCTGATCAAAGCTGTGAGCAGCATGTTGACAGCAGTCAGAATGTTAGTGTAGACTGACAACTTGAGCCTCTATTTGTAAGACGGGCTGGAGGATGTGGTTTAGTCGCTTTCATGTGATTTCTTGCCCTATTACATGTGTATCTCGAAGGTCACTGATGTGCATTTCGCAGAAAACGTGCATCATGAAAAGAAGGGACCCTAAACCCAGCAACACTGAAGTGAGTAAAGATTATGAATAGCCATTTGAACAGTGAATGTAATTGTAAAGAAATTGTGTGATCTTCTTAATAACAGCACAGTAACTCAGTGGTTAGAACGCTCGCTTTGCAAGTGAGAGACCTGGGTTTGATTCCCGGCAGCGCGAAATGTTTGGCAAGTTTCCTTACTCCACATGGAACACCTCTGTTTCTCCAGCAGTAAGTAGAAACCAGGTTGTTAGTCAATTGGCAGATCGCTTTTCCAAGGGTAATAATTCCTTCCTCCCCCCAAAAATAATAAATTGGTAACTTCAAACCACGACTGTTTGTGGGACACTGCTACGTGCAATTGGCTGCCTTTGTTTCGCCCACAAAATATGCAGTCAATTCAGTTCACGGTTTATTCTGTGAAGCGTTTTGACATGTCTTAAAGACGTGATAAGGTGTTCTATCCAGTGCAAGGATTATTATTGTTATTATCCTCAATTTTCTCTATTTCTGTGCTTGTCAATTTTGTCCCTCCACATGAGGGTAGTGGAAAGAAACAAGAAAGAACATGTGTTGGATTTGTAGATGGAGTCTGAATGTATAATGGTGGTATTTGCTATCACTCATGGCGCCTCTTCATTTTGATCAACCCTTCAAGCATGACAAGTCGTGGGAGGCAGATGATAGTTGGAACAACTTTGTTCCCCTCAAACAGCCCTATGCCATTTCCTACTGCATGAAGCAGCTTAACCTTTGAGCAGTGTTCAACTCTATGAGCAGGGGCAAGTGCTCTTCTTTCACAGTGCTAGTCAAGATGGGCAGCCTTCACAGCAAATAGCAGGCAGATGTGCCTTCACCCTGCCCAGTGGCAGTAAAGCAGTGTACACGCAGAATATACGAAGGAGAAGGGTATAAGAGATGTGCAAGTATACTGGCCAACCATTCCCCAAATGAAATAATTGATCATTCACTTCACTGGTGTTTGTGGACATTGCAGTGCGCAAATTGGCAACCACATTGATTTAGACGCAAAAACACTTTTTGAGAATTGTAATTGCATATTTATTACTCTGCAAAATAATATTGCAGTAACTTTAAACAAAGAAACTGTATAAGGCCATCACTGCACTTGACAGTACCTGTAAAGTACTTTGAGATGTTTGGCATGATAAGGCACTGTAAAAATACAGCTTCTTTATAACGTTGGTGCATGACCCCTGCTGCTTTTCTAATAGGCACTAAACCAGGTTAAAAATCTGTTAAAAAATTGTTTTGTGCATATGCAGGTTACTAACTTTGAATTACTCTACATTGCATAGCTCTGCTAAGCACGGTAAAGTTACACAATTTTAAGGAGCATTTAATCAAAAGCACATTAGCCTTCTCCTAGCTCACTTCTTCAACATAAAGCTTAGAATAAGCAGTACAGCTTTGTCACTAGATCTCAGTATTGCTGGATGCTTTGATTCTGCTATTAATCCAGGAAAGGTACTTTTTGGAAAGTCGTGTGTAAACACCAGGTACTTCAGGTTTTCCGCAATCATCTCCGAAAGAAACGATTCCTCTGAACACTCCCTTGCATATCAGTGGACCACCTGAATCTCCCTGAAAAAGAAATAATAAAAGTATATTTCAAGCATATATGGGAAACCATAAACATTACACAGAGAAGTATTTACCATGTAGATATCTGCAGTCTTTGGGCAATTCTTCTGTTATAAGCATTTTGAGACATCTCGAAGATGTGATAAGGCACTATATCAAATCCAAGGATAATTATTATTATTAATATAAGAAACAACTGATTTTCATTGGGAAGCTTATATAGCAATCTGCTGATGAAATTGTGCAACCATATAGGCAGAACCAAGGAATTTACAGCACAAATTAATGCCATTTGGCCCATCATAGCTCCATCAGCTTGATTTGGGATCAGGATAAGTCAGGTAACTTCTAAGATAATGATTCTGTCACACAGTCATGAATTGTATTGTATATTGTATTCTCCCAGTGTCCTGGCCAATAATCCCCGTGATTAAAAATTGGTTGAACATTTCATGGTTGTTTGTGGGACATTACCATGTGCAAATTGTCTGCTGCATTTGCCTCAAAATACACAGTCATTACACTTCATCACTATATTTAATGCAAGAATTATCATTATTATTATTATTACATATTTTTAAAACAAATAACAATATTCTTTAATGGGAGCCCCCAAAGTTTCTTGCATCCTGACCACAGCCAATAAGGTCATGTCAGGCTTGTCTAGACCCTTCCTCCCATCTATCTCAGTATTCTCCATCACAGGCTCTTTGGTGTCAAAATACAATTTTCAGATCCACAATGATGAATATCAATCAGGTTGTAATAGCTATTACAATCAAGACCATTACAACCGATTGATATTCATTCTCAGATTTAGACTGTTGTACATTCTATGTAATATGTAATAAAAATAGAATTGCCAAACATATTTGATGTACAAAGTATTAGACTGCACCGGTTTGACATGAGATGAGGTACAATTACAATACCTCCATGTAGAGGATCACTACAACACTTTATTCACTTTACTGTTGCATCCTTCTGATCTTTGGTTTTAGTTGCTAACTCCGAATTTTCTTTTACAATTCTTTAGCCAAGGGATAGGTTGAACTTAGCTAATTAGATTTTTAAAATATTAGATTTTATTTTTAAAATTATTTTTCTCTTTTGGATTGCTCCACGTCACACACATACCAACTAAGCAGATAACCTGAAGCCCTGCTACAGCTTAGAACAGACCCATCTCTCCCAGTGCCCAGTCTCCAAGGGAATGAGATTGGTTGATTGACTGTGTTTGAATCAGTATGAGCCTTGTCCTCTATCGCTTGACACAGCCTCTTTGGATCTTTAAACACTGCACCTCTGCACCATGGAAGTCATTTTACCAGTGTCTGAGTTCAGTTCTCTGTTTCAGAATGTTGTGCACCTGACAGACACTCACCTGACAGGCATCTTTTCCTCCTCGTTTATCACCAGCACATAGCATATCATCAGTTATTTGGCAATTATTTTTGTAATATTCTGAACACTTTTTCCTGTCTATGATAGTTATGTTCACTTCCTGCAGCATATCAGAGGGTTGAGAGTTTCCAGCTGCTGTACTCCCCCAACCAGTAACATTACACATGGTTCCAACTTTGACATCATCTCCAGATTCAGGCAACGGCAAGAATTTTACAAAACTATTAAGCTTTGCTTTAGATTTAAGCTGCAATAAAAGATAAAAGATAACTTTTATTAAAAAGATATACTAAATAGTGAAAGATCATTTGTTTTTAAAACATTATTAACACACTATGAAAATACGTTTTTAAATTAAAGAACACCTATGGTGGAACGGGTCGCCGATCAGAGTTGTTAATAACAAACCGGAATTGCAAACAGTGACTCCTGTTGGTAATTTGAAGTGTGTCATGTTGACCTGTGGAAACTCCACTCTATTACAATGTATTTCTTATTCCTGTACTTTGATTTTGAACTGCTGTTTATGAGATCCGACCGTTCACACTTTGCAAAATATTACTCTCCAAAAAGACAAAATGAGATAGATTGTGAGTATGGCTCTTGCCTTTTAGGCCTGTCAAAAATGTAAGTGCACATTGAGAAGTATTAAAACAAAATCGCAAACCTGGAGCAGCATAATGTCATTTTCCTTGGTATTTCTATCAAAGCATGGGTGTGGGAATTCCTTTTTGATCTTAAACACTTGTTTAACTTTCGTATTCTCACGAAGTGAATCAATTCCAAGAACCACGGAATTCAGCTTAGCCTTGCCACTGCATTTGATTTCAAAAGAAAAAAGACCCGTTCTTAAGCATTATTTAGATAACTGAAACATGTCACAAGAAGAGTGACCTTCAAGAAACAACACATGGATAAGATTCTACCAAATTCTGTCACTCTCATTAATATGCTTTCCCTCACAGTTATACTGAATGCGAGAATTTGTCATATGTTATTCCCAGGTTATTCTGCAGGTAACAAGGATCTCATACTTCACTACTTCATCTGTTCTTAGCCTATACCAGCAGCAAAGTCAGATGGAAGAAGCATGTGTCTTCAATCTATTATTATGTTTACTATATGTATGTCTGTAACTTACTCAGCGCAGTGTGCCGCAGTCAGTACCCAGGCAGGTTTGATCAATGCTCCTCCACATTTATGCTTTCTGTTAACCTGGATGGATGCCATGTAAGGTCTTGAATGAGACGGAACATCATGACCCCAATGATTTCCACACAACCATCTTTAAATTAAACACAGAGAGGATATTACAGTATTGATGTGGGACACAGCTGGAATTCAATACATCCAAAGCAACTGCATGTTACATGTTTTTAAAATAAATAAACAAATGTTATAACATTCACGAACATTATGAAGGAAAACAATTTTCATCATGATGATGTGGTTTATTCAGACTTGTGGCACAAGGCTTATCTTTTTAAACAGGACCATGGGAACTTCAACATCCACCTCAACAGGCAGATGGGACCTTGTTTAACTTACGATCCAAAAGTCGGCAGTTCTAACAATGCAGTGCACCCCCAGCACTGCATTAGCATGTCAATCTAGACTATGTGTTCAAAATCCTGACGTGGGACATTGAGATCCATTAATTTGACAAGGCACTGGATCAAATGCAAGTATGATTGCCATGGTATTAAACTACTGTGAATACTACTCCTGATATCATATCTTGTACACCGAATTGTTTTAGACTTCTAATAAGCTGGAAGATCTATGAAATAATTAGAAACAATTTTTAAAATAAATCAAAAGCACATATCTCATGTGCATTATTCTGAATATGCAATTGTTTTGAAACTTGTTAATAGGCAAATGGCTAAAGAGCAATTATAATTCTTGCATTTTTTGAGATAGCGCCTTATCACATCTTCTAGACGCCTCAAAGAGCTTCAGGAATATACTGTAAAGTAAATTGACTGTGTATTTTGTGGGCGAAACTCGGCAGCCAATTGCACTCAGCAGTATCAGCAGTATCCCACAAACAGTGGATTGAGTGGCAACATTATTATTATTATTTTTTGAAGGGATTATTACCCCCGGAAAAGCGATCTGCCAATCTACTGTCAGCCGGGTTCCTACCTACTGCTAGGTAAACAGAGGCGTGTGGAGTAAGGAAACTTGCTCAACATTTCGGTCTAATAATAAATAGTTGTAGTATATAAAGCAACTTATATCATTCACAAACCTGTTGTGTCCTACATTTGAATATAATAATACTTAGCATCATACAAATGATCTGGAAGATTACGATTATACTTACAGCCTGGTGTTAGCGAGAAAATAATGGTCAAGGAGCTGATCAAAGCTGTGAGCAGCATGTTGACAGCAGTCAGAATGTTAGTGTAGACTGACAACTTGAGCCTCTATTTGTAAGATGGGCTGGAGGATGTGGTTTAGTCGCTTTCATGTGATTTCTTGCCCTATTACATGTGTATCTCGAAGGTCACTGATGTGCATTTCGCAGAAAACGTGCATCATGAAAAGAAGGGACCCTAAACTCAGCAACACTGAAGTGAGTAAAGATTATGAATAGCCATTTGAACAGTGAATGTAACTGTAAAGAAATCATGTGATCTTCTTAATAACAGCATAGTGAATTGAAATAAATAAGTTGCAAAGTCAAAAATCAGAAGACATTGATGCAATACTATTTTTTCTTGCTTGTGTCTGTTTGTGTGTAGATAGATAGGTGGGGACGGATAGATGGAATTGGAATTGGTAAATAATTTATGCTCTATTGAGGGTATCCTGTAACTCAGTGGTTAGAACGCTCGCTTTGCAAGTGAGAGACCTGGGTTTGATTCCCGGCAGCGCGAAACGTTGGGCAAGTTTCCTTACTCCACATGGAACACCTCTGTTTCTCTAGCAGTAAGTAGAAACCAGGTTGTTAGTCAATTGGCAGATCGCTTTTCCAGGGGTAATAATTCCTTCCTCCCCCCCAAAATAATAAATTGGTAACTTCAAACCACGACTGTTTGTGGGACATTGCTACGTGCAATTGGCTGCCTTTGTGGAGTCCTGTGGTTCAGTGGTTAGAGCACTCGCTTTGCAAGCGAGAGACCTGAGTTCAATTCCAGGCAGGGCAAAACCTTGGGTAAGTTTCCTTACTCCACACGCCTAATAATAATCCCTCCAAAAAACAAAAACAATAATAAATTGGTCATTTTCAATCTACGACTGTTTGTGGGACATTGCTGTGCGCAATTGGCTGCCGCGTTTGCCCACAAATATACAGTCAATTCACTTTACAGTGTGTTCTGTGAAGCGCTTTGGGACGTCCTCCTGACGTGAAAAGCGCTATATCAAATGCAAGGATTATTATTATTATTATTATTATTTGTTTCGCCCACAAAATATGCAGTCAATTCAGTTCACCGTTTATTCTGTGAAGCGCTTTGAGATGTCTTGAAGACGTGATAAGGCGTTCTATCCAGTGCAAGGATTATTATTGTTATTATCCTCAATTTTCTCTATTTCTGTGCTTGTCAATTTTGTCCCTCCACAAGAGGGCAGTGGAAAGAAACAAGAAAGAACATGTGTTGGATTTGCAGAGGGAGTCTGAATGTATGATGCTGGTATTTTCTATCCCCCCTGGTGCCTCTTCATTTTGGTCAACCCTTTAAGCATGACAAGTCGTGGGAGGCAGATGATAGTTGAAACATCTTTGTTCCCCTCAAACAGCCCTATGCCATTTCCTACTGCATGAAGCAGCTTAACCTTTGAGCAGTGTTCAACTCTATGAGCAGGGGCAAGTGCTCTTCTTTCACAGTGCTAGTCAAGATGGGCAGCCTTCACAGCAAATAGCAGGCAGATGTGCCTTCACCCTGCCCAGTGGCAGTAATGCAGTGTACACGCAGAATATACGAAGGAGAAGGGTATAAGAGATGTGCAAGTATACTGGCCAACCATTCCCCAAATGAAATAATTGATCATTCACTTCACTGGTGTTTGTGGACATTGCAGTGCGCAAATTGGCCACCACATTGATTTAGACGCAAAAACACTTTTTGAGAATTGTAATTGCATATTTATTACTCTGTAAAATAATATTGCAGTAACTTTAAACAAAGAAACTGTATAAAGCCATCACTGCACGTGACAGTACCTGTAATGTACTTTGAGATGTTTGGCATGATAAGGCACTATAAAAATAGAGCTTCTTTATAATGTTGGTGCTACTCCAGCATGACCCCTGCTGCCTTTCTAATAGGCACTAAACCAGGTTAAAAATCTGTTTTGTGCATATGCAGGCTACTAACTTTGAATTACTCTACATTGCATAGCTCTGCTAAGCATGGTAAAGTTACACAATTTTAAGGAGCATTTAATCAAAAGCACATTAGCCTTCTCCTAGCTCACTTCTCCAACATAAAGCTTAGAATAAGCAGTACAGCTTTGTCACTAGATCTCAGTATTGCTGGATGCTTTGATTCTGCTGTTAATCCAGGAAAGGTACTTTTTGGAAAGTCGTGTGTAAACACCAGGTTTCTTAGGTTTTCCGCAACCATCTCCGAAAGAAACGATTCCTCTGAACACTCTCTTGCATATCAGTGGACCACCTGAATCTCCCTGAAAAAGAAATAATAAAAGTATATTTCAAGCATATATGGGAAACCATAAACATTACACAGAGAAGTATTTACCATGTAGATATCTGCACTTTTTGGGCAATTCGTCTGTTATAAGCATTTTGAGACGTCTCAAAGATGTGATAAGGCACTATATCAAATCCAAGGATAATTATTATTATTAATATAAGAAACAACTGATTTTCATTGGGAAGTTTATATAGCAATCTGCTGATGAAATTGTGCAACCTATAGGCAGAACCAAGGAATTTACAGCACAAATTAATGCCACTTGGCCCATCATAGCTCCATCAGCTTGATTTGGGATCAGGATAAGTCAGGCAACTTCTAAGATAATGATTCTGTCACACAGTCATGAATTGTATTGTATATTGTATTCTCCCAGTGTCCTGGCCAACAATCCCCGTGATTAAAAATTGGTTGAACATTTCATGGTTGTTTGTGGGACATTACCATGTGCAAATTGTCTGCTGCATTTGCCTCAAAATACACAGTCATTACACTTCATCACTATATTTAATGCAAGAATTATCATTATTATTATTATTACATATTTTTAAAACAAATAACAATATTCTTTAATGGGAGCCCCCAAAGTTTCTTGCATCCTGATCACAGCCAATAAGGTCATGTCAGGCTTGTCTAGACCCTTCCTCCCATCTATCTGAGTATTCTCCATCACAGGCTCTTTTGTGTCAAAATACAATTTTCAGATCTACAATGATGAATATCAATCAGGTTGTAATAGCTATTACAATCAAGACCATTACAACCGATTGATATTCATTCTCAGATTTAGACTGTTGTACATTCTATGTAATATGTAATAAAAATAGAATTGTCAAACATATTTGATGTACACAGTATTAGACTGCACCGGTTTGACATGAGATGAGGTACAATTACAATACCTCCATGTAGAGGATCACTACAACACTTTATTCACTTTACTGTTGCATCCTTCTGATCTTTGGTTTTAGTTGCTAACTCCGAATTTTCTTTTACAATTCTTTAGCCAAGGGATAGGTTGAACTTAGCTAATTAGATTTTTAAAATATTAGATTTTATTTTTTTAAATTCTTTTTCTCTTTTGGATTGCTCCACGTCACACACATACTAACTAAGCAGATAACCTGAAGCCCTGCTACAGCTTAGAACAGACCCATCTCTCCCAGTGCCCAGTCTCCAAGGGAATGAGATTGGTTGATTGACTGTGTTTGAATCAGTATGAGCCTTGTCCTCTATCGCTTGACACAGCCTCTTTGGATCTTTAAACACTGCACCTCTGCACCATGGAAGTCATTTTACCAGTGTCTGAGTTCAGTTCTCTGTTTCAGAATGTTGTGCACCTGACAGACACTCACCTGACAGGCATCTTTTCCTCCTCGTTTATCACCAGCACATAGCATATCATCAGTTATTTGGGAATTATTTTTGTAATATTCTGAACACTTTTTCCTGTCTATGATAGTTATGTTCACTTCCTGCAGCATATCAGAGGGTTGAGAGTTTCCAGCTGCTGTAATCCCCCAACCAGCAACATTACACTTGGTTCCAACTTTGACATCATCTCCAGATTTAGGTAACGGCAAGAAATTTACAAAACTATTAGGCTTTGCTTTAGATTTAAGCTGCAATAAAAGATAACTTTTATTAAAAAGATATACTAAATAGTGAAAGATCATTTGTTTTTAAAACATTATTAACACACTATTAAAATACATTTTTAAATTAAAGAACCCCTATGGTGGAGCGGGTCGCCCCAGCTCCACCATGCACAAGATCCAGTTGATTCAAAACTCCAACTCCCGCATAATCACCAGAGCACTAAACTCTGTCTCCCCATTACACCAGTTTTAGCCAGGCTCCACTGGCTCCCTGGGCCTGAACGGATCGATTTCAAGATCCTCACACCCGTTTTCAAATCCCTTCATGCCCTGGGACCTCCCTACCTCTCCGACCTGCTTACACCCAACTCACTGCCTCTGCTCTGCTCGACTGGCTCCAGCTTTCTGCATGTCTCTCGTGCTCTCCGTTCCACCATTGGTGGCCACGCTTTTAGCCACTATACCCCAAAGCTCTGGAACACTCTTCCTCTATCCCTCCACCTTACCCCTTTATTCCCCATCTTCAGCTCATGCCTAAAGACCTTCCTCTTCGACCGTTTCTACAGTCACCACCCCCTCCCCTGGTTTGTGTCGTGCTCCACCATTGTCAAGTGCTCTGAGATGCTACCTTGAGTGAGGGGCAAGGTATACAAATGTAAGTTGTTTTATTATTGAAAAGAAAGTGCAAATTAATATAAGTACTTGTCGTTCGGAAACATTTTGTTGTTTGGAAGGATAGTATGGAATCAAAATTGAATCATTCATAATTCGAGACTTGCCCAAGGTTTCGCCTTGCTGGGAATCGAAGACAGGCATCTCGCTGGAGGTTCAAATTGCAGTATACCCAGGTATACTGCAATTTGGACCTCCTGTGTCTAATTATTTTAACCTGAGGAACTGATTTTTTTGATATTTGCCATAATTAGAAACACAGTCAATACCTTACCTTCAGAAGCATGATATCATTTTTTTGTTGTTTGTGGTTAAAAGATGGATATACGATCATATCTTTGATGATGAATATTTGCTTTCCTTTTTCTTTTTTTGAAAGTGAGAGAGCTCCAAGGACCACTTGTTTTTTTCCCATGAGTTCCCTGGAGAGAAATGCCAACAAAATGAATTTAACTACATTCGCAGCAGGAACATGAGAAATCACACGTTCAGGGAAATCTCCCTTTGTCTATGATGAAATACGTATTTTCTCCACGGAGAGATGCACCTAGTTCACCTAATCCTGGAAAGTACAATATATTAGGCTCAGTTTCACAAGAGCCAAGGCAATGGAACCCCAAATAAAGTGTTATTCTGCTGCTGGAGTTTAACCAGCTAAATCCATGCAATTTACCATTGCAAACACTGACTGGTGAGCTTCTTGCTGTTCGTCCAATTCATCCAGTTTGTCCTACCATTAGCACTTTGGTTTGTAGGATTAGGAGGAGTCAAGTGGAAGGATCCCGGCCCCCAGTGACGAGTCTGTGGTTCCAAGTCCCGTTGTTCCAACATATGTTGACAAACCAGTGTCTTGGAGTACTGTAGATATACTTGGCTCAGGAACTAGATTACTGAAATCACCAGAGCTGGTCTACTGGATTCCAATATTCCATTGTCAGGTGTGTTATCGTGAAGCTATCTCAGCCACAAAAAGACCCAGCATGTTCCCCACCCCTCATTTAGGATCATGGAAATCAGGCTGCACTGGAAAGGTCATTGCAGTCTATCTGTCTGCTCTCAATCTTTTGAAGAATCTCATGCCTATTCTCATGCCCCAAAAACTATTTCTTTGCTAATCTAGGAATATACTGGACTGGTACAATTAATGTAACTGAAACCATAATATAGTTTCTGTTTGAAGCAGCAAGTTCTCAGGTTTTACTAGATTATCATTTCCCCCCATAAACTATTACTTTAAATTGCTGCACAAAGTAATATTGCGGATCAGACTTACATTTTACAATGTGCTGCAGTCAGGATCCAGTTGGGTTTGATCAAAGCTCCTCCACATACATGTGTGAATCGTTTCCGTGTTTTGTTAAAAGCCTGAATAGATGCCATGTAAGGTTTTGAATGAGATCTAACCTTACTTCCTCCAATAATTTCCACACAATCATCTATAATGATAAAAGATAAATAAAAAGCATCCTGATACAATAACAACTTGCATTTGTATAGCACTCTTCAAACAGGGTAGGATTTTGAAACGCTGAATACTACAGAGATCACATAATTTGAAAGCAATTTCTAAGCTAGGGGTACATTGAACAACATTTTACCAGAAGCAAAAATATATTTAAATATCTTCCTTATTAGCTATATTAGTTCCGTGGAGACCTGTAGCTCAGTGATTAAAGCACTTGCCTTGCAAGTGAGAGACCTGGGTTTGATTCCCAGCAGGGTGAAATGTTGGGAAAGTTTCCTTATTCCACACGCCTGATAATAATCCCTCAAAAAAAAATAATAAATTGGTCTCTTCAATCCACAATCTTTTGTGGGATACTGTTGTGTGTAATTGGGTGCTGCATTTCGCCCACAAAATATACAACCAATTGACTTTACAGTATATTCTGTGAAGCACTTTGAGACAACAACAAAATTACATTTGTATAGCGCCTTTCATGTTAAGAGGACGTCCCAAGGCGCTGGGTGGGGGTCGGGGGAGAATGGAGGACAGAGTGGAAGCAAGGAGATCAAAAGCACAGTTGAAGAGCAGGGTCTTGAAGCGGGTCTTGAAGGTGGTAAGTGAGGGGCGAGGCGGAGGAACGGCGGGATGGAGTTGATGTCTAACAGACATTCTTCAGGACAGCAGTGGTCCTGGAGTCAAGGGTGGAGGCAGAGAGGTAGAGTTGGGTATCATCTGCATACATCCGGGTCTGGCCTCCTCTTCATCCCCCGAGTCCTCCGTTCCACCCTCGGTGGCTGTACCTTCAGCCACTATGTCCCGAGGCTCTGGCATTTCCTTCCGCACTCCCTTCGCCTCGCCCCCTCTCTTCCTATTTTCAGATCTCTGCTGAAGACCTTTCTCTTCGACCGCGCCTTTGGTCACCTTCCTCCCCATCCCCCTGGCTCGGCGCCCGGATCTGTTGCTGTAAAGCGCTCTGAGACACCGTCCGGCATGGAGGGCGCTATATAAATCCAAGTTGTTATTGGAAGTTGACCACATGTCTACGGATGATGTCACCAAAGGGGAGTAAATAGATATTGAAGAGGAGGGGACCAAGGGCAGAGCCCTGAGGAACACCACATGAGACAGTCCGGGGTCTAGAGGAGAAGCCGTTTGAGGAGATGAAATGCAGGCAGTGTGAGAGGTACGATCTGAGACGTCAGATAAAGACGTGAAATGCGCCATATCAATGCAAAGATTATTATCTTTATCTTCATTTTGAGTTTCACCCACAATATACAGTCAATTCACTTTAGGGTATATTCTGGGAAGCACTTTGAGACATCTCAAAGACACAAAAAGGCACTATATCAAATGCAACGATTATTATTAAATATCTTCATTTTTATAGTGAGTTAACAGTGTTGTCTGCTTTATTTATTGCAGTAAAGCTTTATTTTCACTATAAAGCAACTAAGAAAGGATACTTTCTTTGAGCAGGATTATCACCCAGAAATGTTAATGCAAATGCAAGGATTATCATTATCAGAATCAGATCTAATTTGGGAATGTATTTCATAGAGTATTTGTCTCCAAACTTTAGACTGGAAGAGTTATGGGGGAAGTTAGTAGAAACATTTTCACACAAAAACAGGTATTAGAACCTCATTGCCACAAAATAATTATTTGATTAATTATTGATGCTAAAAAGGATTAGCATAAACATCTCAATATCCTAAGTATCTACCATATAGTTGTAATAACAGTTTTCAGTTGAATACCTTCTGGCTTATACAAATAAACATTTTTTGTTATTTTACAAGGTTCATTAGAAAGGAATGAATGCCCACAAAATGAGTTTAAATGTATTCTCGGCGAGAACATACAAAAAGCATGAAAATGATAATGAGTTCATGAAAGATACTCTTTCCATGTTACAAGATAACTTTAACTAAAACTGCTAGTCATAGACTATCACTTTACTTACAGCCTGGTGTTAGAGTGAACAAAATTGTCACAGAACTGAGCAAAACCTCAAGCAACATGTTCACCACAGTTGTACGAGTGAGTGCGGGCTGAGTGAGTGCGCTCTCTATTTATAAGACAGGTAGCAGGATGCAGTATGGTCAGATTTAGTTTAATGACTTTGAGTATTTCTTAGAGTTAACAAGAACACATTTATTGGAAGTCTAATCCCATATCTAAAACATCAAGAGTTTGTAATGCTGAAATCAGGAGAGATTCTAAAAGGCATGTGAATCATGCAAGTGTGATTTCAGAGGAGAGGGAGAGAAAGAAAAAGATTTAGAATCAAAGCAAAAAAAATTATAAATTATATTTATATCAAACTATAATCATCAAATTATATCAAGTAGATGTAAAATCCTTAATAGTTTTAACTGATGCTATAACAAACCTGAAGTGGATTTCACTGTATCACTGTAATACCTGAGTAGAAATGTGCTGCACATGGGTTCAACATGCAGCTTACATTTAGAAATTTGTAAAGTAAAACAAAATCAAGATCACAAGATTGGTTTGGACGAAGGCCCTTCGACTTTCCGATCCCATCCTTTCAGAACACCCATCCTACTGTTGCCCCATTACAGGATCAAGCTGTTTTTTAAATGAATCCAGTGTCATGGCCTTAACCAACCTTCCTGGCAACCTGTCTATAACACTCTGAGTAAAGAAAAACTTCTTGGTCAGTCCTGAAATTGATTAGGAATGTACCTGGATTGCCGACAACGTAAATCATAAACATTCAGAACAGTGGAGGGTTAGGAAATCCTTTTGTGGCACATCTGAATAACTCTTAAGTGATACATTACCAATTACTAACTTTAAACCATGGGTTAGAGGAAACTGTCCTCAATGTTGTGGAGTCCTGTAGCTCAGTGGTTAGAGCACTCGCTTTGCAAGCGAGAGACCTGAGTTCAATTCCAGGCAGGTCAGGGCGAAACCTTGGGCAAGTTTCCTTACTCCACACGCCTAATAATAATCCCTCCAAAACTAAAAACAATAATAAATTGGTCATTTTCAATCTACGACTGTTTGTGGGACATTGCTGTGCGCAATTGGCTGCCGCGTTCGCCCTCAAATATACAGTCAATTCACTTTACAGTATATTCTGTGAAGCGCTTTGGGATGTCCTCCCGACGTGAAAAGCGCTATATCAAATGCAAGGATTATTATTATTATTATAATGTTAGTAAAGTGTCACCTTGTGGAGATAATTGAATATGACAACAGCTCTTTTATGTACCTCTGTTTTGCAGACACTGGAAATCTAAATTAAAGCAAGAATATGGGAATCGATATTTGGTCAGTTGGTCACTATTTGGAGAAAAATAGTTTATTATTTCAGGCAAAACTGTTTATGTTGTGTAACTCCCCTAGTGGGTCAATGATAAAGGCTATATAACTAAGCTATACAGACCAGAAGGTTGCTGATTTGATTCCTGGTGAGTGCTGAGTTCGTGGATCTCAGTCAGTGCATCATTTGGGATGTACAATTGGTCTCAGTGACCCACAGAGAAATATCAACCAGAGTTCCTTCTCCTTGTTGTTATCCTGTCCACTATGCTGGACCATGTGTGTGGCTATTGATTGAGAACAAGATTGGACTTGTCTGTGATGTCGAATATCGCACTGACATTCAATCATTCAGCTCACACATGAAGAACGGTGAGGGACTATTGAGCAGGCTGCCATTGGAGAAACCGCAGTCAAGCACAAATCCAAAAAGGAGGAGAAAAACAAGTAAATAAGCATATTTACCCCTTGTCAGCCCCACATTAACCAGCGTCATCAACCTTTCCATAACCTTTGGAATTGTACATCTCCTTTCAAAATTACTATCTTCACCCTTTCCAAATTTGCCACCAGCTTGAATTTCCATCATTCACTCATCGCTCCTCTTCCCCCCCCTCCCCCCCCCCCCACCACCACGCCCCACAAACCCCCCCCAGCACAGCCTGGATCTGACACTACGGGCGCGGACGTGTGTACGTGTGGGCGCGGATTTACTGCACTGAAGCTGTGTGACAGCATTGGAGTTTGAGAGGCATTACACCCCAATTCCTATCCCTCCCTCTCTCTCTCTCTCTCTCTCTCTCTCTCACACGCTCACACTCTCTCTCACACGCTCACACTCTCACACACACTCTATTTCTCACACACAGCCTGTCACGTACACACACACACACGCACACCATCTCTCACGCTCTCGTCCTCTCTTTCTCACCCACTCGCTCTCATTGTGGAGTCCTGTAGCTCAGTGGTTAGAGCACTCGCTTTGCAAGTGAGAGACCTGAGTTCAATTCCAGGCAGAGGGCGAAACCTCGGGCAAGTTTCCTTACTCCACACAGAGCCTAATAATAATCCCTCCAAAACCCAAAACAATAATAAATTGGTCATTTTCAATCTACAACTGTTTGTGGGACATTGCTGTGCGCAATTGGCTGCCGCGTTCACCCACAAATATACAGTCAATTCACTTTACAGTGTGTTCTGTGAAGCGCTTTGGGACGTCCTCCCGACGTGAAAAGCGCTATATCAAATGCAAGGATTATTATTATTATTATTATTATCACTCCTTGTTTGAGACTTTTCATTTTGGTGTTCAACCTGCTCCTGACACTGAGTTAACCTTATCTCTCCTCATCCTCCTCAACCTCTCTGCAGCCTCAAACTATCTAGAAACACCTTTTGCTGACCACAGGAATCACTTTGACAGGAAATATGCTGTGAAGAGGAAGCCAATAATAGTTAACCATATTTACTACACAATAGACACCAAGGATCACTAGAAAAAGCATATGGCAGCAGATTCAAAAGCATTGCTTGCTTCATAATAAAATAAAGAATCCTTAGATTTGACATAGCAGCAGGAGGCCATCACAAAACGATTCACAGGATATACTGTAAAGTGTAGTAACTATGTTTGCTGTAGGTAACCGTAGTAGCAAATATGACAAATGATATTCTATGCATCTGTTCCAGGACTCCCTCTGTCTTCTTGTCCTCCTTGACCTCTCTGCTGCCTTCGACACTTTCGACTGTTCTGTCCACCTCCGAATCCTCTCCTCTCAGCTCAACCTTCACAAATCTGTCTTTGACTGGTTCAAATCTTACCTTTCGCACTGTCTCCACTTTGTCTGCACAAACCGCTTCTCCTCCAGCCCCCGCACCGTCTTGCGTGATGTTCCTCAGGGCTCTGTCCTCAGTCCTCTCATCAGTAACCTGTACATGTCACCTCTCGGTGACATTTTCCGCAGACCTGGAGTCAACTTCCACCCAACTCTATCTCTCTACCTCCACCCTCGACTCCAGAATGTCTGTCAGACATCAAGTCCTGAATGAGAGGTAACTTTCTCTAGTTGAATGTCAACAAGTCCGAGGCCCTCCTGATTGGCTCCCGTCAGCACCTCCACACTTCAGACCCTGGCAGCATCACCATTCATGGATGCACACTCCACCTCATTAAGCCAGTCCAGAACCTTGGCATCTTGTTGACCCTAAACAGTCCTTTCCACCCAACATTGGTATCATGACCCGCTCTGCCTTCCCCCACCTCCGCAACATCACCCACCTCTGCTACTGCCTCTCCCCTCAGACCGTTGAAACCCTCATCCATGCATTTATTACATCCAGATTTGACTATGCCAACTCTCTGCTTGTCGGCCTTCCCAACTCCTCCCTCCACAAGCTGCAGGTCATCCAGAACTCGTGGCTTCTCCCACACCAGGTTCCATGACCCTATCACCCCCACCCTTGCCTGGCTCCACTGGCTCCCCATCCCGCAGACAATAGAGTTCAAAATCCTCGTCCTCTCCTTCAAAGTCCTGCACGGCCTTGCTCCTTGCTACCTCTGTGACCTGCTAACTCCACATTGACCTGTCTGCTCCTTCTGCTTAGCAGGTTCCGGCCTGCTCCACATCCCTCGCCAACCTTCCCCACAATCGTCAGTCGGGCCTTCAGTCTCTCTGCTCCCAGCTACCTCCAGGTGGGTGCCAAGCCCTCCTGATCCCAACCCCCTTTTTGAGTCCCAATCCCAAGTGGCTTGGGTCATTCTCCCGACATGAAAGGCACTATACAAATGTGATTTGTTGTTGTGTGAACACAGCAATGTCCCACAAACAGTATGAAGTGAATAACCCTTCTCTTTTGGAATAATAATTGATCTTTAATGTTCACCTGATCAGGCAGATAGTACATCAAGTTAAAATTTCATCTGAAGGATGGCATTTCCAACAGTACAGCATACCCCCAGGACTGCACTGGACTATCATATTAGATAATATGAGTTCAAAGTCCTGGCATGGGCTTGAACCCACAACCTTCTGACTTAAAGATAAAAGTGATACCAACTGAGCCAGGTTTACACATAGTGACCTTTATTATCTAAAAGAAACGTCAAAATACTGCAGATGATTGAAATCTGAAATAAAAACAGAAGTCAATGGGAACATTCAGCAGGTCAGGCAGCATCTATGGCGAGAGGAAAGTGAGTTAATGTTTCAGGTCGATGATCTTCTGACAAAATGCCTGAAACATTAACTCATTTTCTTCTCTCCATAGATGCTGAGTCTTCCCAGCGACTTCTGTTTTTATTTTGACCTTTACTATCTGCCTGTTAGTTCTCAATCTAGTTATCTGGAGTGCACAGCTTATTTGATTATGAAATAGTAGCTTTGCAATAATGTATACTAATTTTCTTTCCATGCAATGCAGTACCAAACTGTACCTAATACTCTCCAGGATTAGGTGAACATAATCCCTCCAGGACTACGTTTACACAAGAACATTTCCATGCATAGGTGGAATTCTCGGATTGGTTTGTATAGTCTTGAGCAAGGTCATGGGTTTTGTCATGTGTTAAGACATCCAGCTAACCAAAGCAAAATGGAAAGTAGCAGCCGACTATACCACACACCATTTCCTCAGCCATTTCAACTGTCCAGAGAATGAAAACAAATCTATCAGTGTTGATACAAGTCCCTAGAAGCATTTATCATGAGTCACAGCACTTTCAGGGTGTATTTAAGGCCCTGAATTAAGTCAGGATGTCCACATTTCAGATGGAGGTGCTGATAGAGGGCTTGGTAGGCAAAAGTTTTAAAGTAACAGCGACACGATGGACCTGAAGGTAGGAAATTTGGAAATTTCTCACTCTAAGATGAATACCTCTCAGAGATTCTTTTGGGCTAGAATTCCATCCAGTCTTAAACTGTTTTGTCTTAAAATGTAAGATTGTGCAGAATTAAACATTTGGTCTTAATTTGGAAACTGGTTTTCCATAGTTCTTAACAACTATCCTCCAATTCAAGATTGAGTTTAAGAATTTTCCACAATTCTGGGTGATCTTGAATTTTAAGATAATCTTTATCTCTGAGACTGGGAAGAGCATTGGAGCAGAGAAATCTTCTGATTCAGACATTATATCAAAGCCTGGAGATATTTCCCTCAGAGTCACAGTCACCTCCTCAGAACATTGTCCAATTTGCCTTACCCACCACTCCACCACCCATTGCCTCCGTTCGGCCGGCTCTGACCTCCTGTTCGTCCCTCACTCCCTCTGCTCCACCATAGGTGGTCGTGCTTTCAGCCACAACGCCCCGAAGCTTGGGAACTCCCTCTCTCAATCCCTCCACCTTGCCCCTCCCTCCCCACTTTCAAATCCCATCTAAAGACCTTCTATTTTGATTGTGTTTACAGTCACCTCCTCGTACCATCTCCCCCTGGCTTGGGGGTCAGACTCCACCACTGTCAAGCTCCCTGGGACACTACCCCGCATGAAGGGCACTATATAAATGCAGGTTGTTGTTGTCAACTCATGTTCGTTATTCAAATCACATTGGACAACACTGTTTATGAGTTATGTCTTTATTGTACCTTGTGAACTGGGCACTTTTTGACTGGCTTGATTCTCAGTACATAACCCTAGCTTTCCGAAACAAATTAGCTTATGCTGCAGCACACATCATGGAAATATTAAACTACCTATGAAGCAACAGAGTTGATGCATTGAAGAAATGAACCAGATTACAATAGATTATTCTCAAAAGATTATCAAGTTGCAACCTATAGTTCATTACATCTAAACAATTTCACTTTCAAACATTCAATAACATAAATTGCCAGAAAATCACTCATTCATATGTTATAGGACAAGTGCTGACAGAGTGAAAGCAAGAAACAATTCATTCTGGAGGCAGTGCAATAGTATGGAAAGGCTTTGTTTGGGTGCACAGGTTAATCCATTGTCATGTTATGAGTTGTAACCCTGATTTTATCATTTATCCAGCGGAGATTGTTCTTGGATAATCGGGTATAAATGCCAGGTTTGTTGCGAAGTGCACATTCATCTCCTCCACCTATAATTATGCCACAGTACACTTTTTTCCTAAACATTTTAGTTTGACAAATTAATGGTCCACCCGAATCTCCCTGAAACAAAACAAGGAAAAAATTCTTAACATAATAAAGACAAGAGTTCACATATTGCCATCTTTATACAGCTGAAAGTGAGGCAATATTGTTGGTAGAAAGCTTAATAATAATAATGATACTTTCATTTCATTTAGCGTCTTATCACATCATCGAGAAGTCTCAAAGCACTTCACAGAATATACTGCAAAGTGAATTGACTGTTGATTTTGTGAGCGAGCTTGATTTATACTTGCTCCATATCATTTCTGAGCACCAAATTTCAGAGTTTTTGTAAGGGTGAAATACAGTAAACTTCCCATAAGTCGTATCAATTGGGTCCATACATTTAATATGACTTATGCAAAGTATGAGTGATGTCAAACTTGCTAGAATATGAACTCTTGAATGGAACTTGGGCAGATGTATGACGGAGTCAATTAGACGATTTATACAGATCTGACTTATGCAAGTTTTACTGTAACTTTTTAAAACAACAATTTCATCAAAATTCTTAGTCTAAAAACTCTCAGGCATTCCAATAACCAGTTTCAACTTTCCCATCAAGGAAACAATGGGGAGCAGAGGCCTTAGCAACTTGTTTCACTGAGGTTATACTCAATGGCGCAAATTGATGTGTTTCTCAAATCACCTCCTTTAAAATCAGTGCTTAGACATGTGAATTACAGGGTTTAGCATTTATATGAATAGGCACTATTGTTGTTAGACTTATTTTATGAAACTTAAGCACAATTAATTTAGCAAAGAACCTCAATGGTGTTAACAACCATTTACATTTACATTTAAAATTATTTAAACACAAATTCATAACAGGTATGGAGCCTCTAACATCAAGAGGACGTTCCATAGCACTTCACAGGCTTTACTGTAACATGGAGTGTTTTGTACATTAGTACATTTGTCTGAATAAACATTGTAATGTAATGCAACAGCCACAGTTGTGAATAGCAAATAGACATTGCAACAACTGGAGCCATAAAACAGCAACCTCAAAGCATGAACTTTTGAAGTGAAACAACAATTGGCTTTGTCACTGAATGAATCTTATAATAATAATAAAAATACTTGCATTTAATATAGCGCCTTATCACGTCGTTGAGACACCTCAAAGCGCTTCACAGAATATATTGTAATGTGGAGTGACTGTATTTTGTGGGCGAAATGTCTTGCACAAATTTCACTTTTAGGGTCCAGGAATTTACAGCTAAAATAATCAAAATCTAGTAATAATGTATTACTTACCAAACATGAATCTTTTCTATATTTTTTATCACCAGCACATAACATTTCCTCTGTTATCAAAGGATCGCCATTATAACACACTTCACTGTTGCAGACCTTCCTGTCCATTATTTCTATATTCACTTTCTTTAGAGTATCAGAAGGTGTTGTACTTCGTGGATTAGTTATTCCCCATCCTGCAATACTGCACTTGGTTTTAGGTTTGATATCTTCTGTCGATTTTGGAAGCTTCAGCGTTGACACATACTTGTTCAGAACAGCTTCATGAGACAACTGTGACATATTAAGCAAAGAATAGCATTTGTTTATAACTGTTAGTGCTGAGTAAGAAACAAGCAGTAGAATACTGTTGTTGCACAACCTACGTCCTTTGTGGACTAGATTTGGGCAGCCTCAAATGAGCTCTCAGTAAACTAGGCTGAGAGCACAAAGTTGTCTTTAATTTGGTATTAAATGGCACAACATTAACAATACGAGTGAGACTGGATGGCATTCTGGTGCAACAGAGGGCGCACTTTTTGCATGTTAGTACACGGATATTAATTACAGGTTAATTACACTGCTTCATCCAACAATTGGCTACACACAGAACAATCCCACACAGGAGAGATAAGATTCATTTGGTTAAGATCCATTACATTTATCGCTAACTTTTATTTGATTATTTGGGGCATAAGATTTATTTAGATCTGTTTGATTACATATTCTAGGAAACCCTAAACTTCCGCCAAGTCTAATAATAATAATAATCCTTGCATTTGATATAGCGCTTTTCACGTCGGGAGGATGGCCCAAAGCGCTTCACAGAACACACTGTAAAGTGAATTGACTGTATATTTGTGGGCGAACGCGGCAGCCAATTGCGCACAGCAATGTCCCACAAACAGTCGTAGATTGAATATGACCAATTTATTATTGTTTTTGGTTTTGGAGGGATTATTATTATTAGGCGTGTGGAGTAAGGAAACTTGCCCAAGGTTTTGCCCTGCCTGGAATTGAACTCAGATCTCTCACTTGCAAAGCGAGTGCTCTAACCACTGAGCTACAGGACTCCACTGTAAGCTTTTACAACCATTTTATTTTAAAATGTAAGATGGTACAGAGTTAAGCAAAATTCTTAAATTCTATGTTCATTTGGAAGACGATCCTTTTTTAAGAACAGCAGAAAACCAGCTTGCAAATTATGACTGAATTTAAGAATTTCCCACAATTTTCCATCGTGTAAAATTTTAAGACTATACGGTTGGTTTTTCAGGTCATAATTGGATGGAATTTCAGGCCTGAGACTCAGTCAACAACATTTAAAATGGAATAGGGTAAAAACTTTGAAAAGAAAAAATATATAAAAGAGTAGTGGGGAAAAGAATGAGGATTTGGGTTTGGAGTAGATGGCTAGAGTGGGTGAGCTAGCAACAGCTTAAGCTTAATTGATCAAATATCTCCTTATTATCCTGTAATTTCTTGGATCCTATTGTGTTCTGGTATTCTGAATTGGCCCACAGTTAACGTGGTGGTGGGTGGGGAGCTGGGGGTTATAATCGTACTAACAGTAGCAACAGCAGGGCGAAACCTTGGGCAAGTTTCCTTACTCCACACGCCTAATAATAATCCCTCCAAAACAAATCAATAATAAATTGGTCATTTTCAACCACGACTGTTTGTGGGACACTGCTGTGCGCAATTGGCTGCCACGTTTTGCCCACAAATATACAGTCAATTCACTTTACAGCATATTCTGTGAAGCGCTTTGAGACGTTGAGAAGACGTGAACAGCGCTATATCAAATGCAAGGGTTATTATTATTATTATTATTATTATCAGCTTTTCAATCTTAAAGTGTCCTGTGAGAAAATCAAGCCCCATCAAACTGCCCCAGTTGGGTTCTCTGTGCTCTGGCGTTGTAAGCCATCGCCCAATCACAGATTCTTACCGGATCGAACTTTAGTTACCTGTAATAGCATGATGTCGTGCCTAAGCAAATGGAAATCTTTATGAGGTACAACCTGCACGACTTTCAATAACTGTTCCTTCTTTCCCGTTCTGTTAGAAAGTGAATGAGCCCCGAGAAGTACTTCAATGCGTTTGTGCATTATATTTCTGCAATTGTAAAAAGAAATTGAGCAGTTGAAAATGCAGCCGCAGATTCACGTTCATGTGGTCTCTGGCCTCATTGTACGCGATTGCTCGTGGCTGTCTTCATAAGCCTGAAGTGACACTGAGTGATAAAAGAGTAAATATTAGACAATAATAAATGAGATGGTATGTGCCTATTGCAGCGATTTCCAAATTTGTGGGAGCAGGGATCAGACCAAGTGATAAACCGACCCACTAACAGCTAAAATTCAGAAATATTAACTGAAATTTTTTTAAGGGCATGATTCTTTGATCATTATTAATCTCACCTACCTGGGCAGGTCAGCATATTTTATTTTTCATTGGGTAGCAATTCCCATGCTAAACTCACACGGTGAGTGTACAACCATTGACAATTCACCCCAGACCTTTATTCCACATCAGACAGTATATTTCCTCACACAGCTTTCAGGGAAAACTAGGGGCTTAAGCTAAACAAAATGAAATTTTATCCCAACAACAACAACAACTTGCACTTATATAGAGCTCTCCAAGTAGGGTAGCGTCTCAGAGTGCTTAACGGTGGCTGACGCCAAGCCGGAAGGGAGGGAGGTGGCCGTAAGTACGTTCGACACTTTAACATCAGAGCTAATTGGGTTTAAAATTAATCTTACATTTAAATAAGATTATACACAGGAAGAGTAAGCAGGTTTTTAGAGGTATTTAAAATCAACTCCCGCACCCCGACATCGTTGGGAAATTCTTATGGACTTCATAGCCTGACTAGCCCATGGTTTAATGTATGACTTCCATCTGGAACCATAGAAATACATGCAACACAGAAGAAGGCTATTCCGTCCATTGGGTCTGTGCTGGTTCTTTGAAAGAACAATGCATTCAGTCCCATTTACTTGCCTTTTTTCCGTACTCCTGCAAATTATTTATTTTCAGATATCTATCCAGCTACTTCCTTATCAAGACTGCTTATAAAAAACACTGTCTAGTAGTGGTATTGCATTAGAGCATCAGCCTAGATTATGTCAAATTGCTTCACAGGATCTACTGTAAAGTGCAGTGACTGTGTATTTGTCGGCAAAATGCCTTGGGTGGGGCTTAAATCTACAACTTTCTGATCAAGAGTTTTGCCAATTGAATCAAACTAATACTTAAATGATAGTAATTTCTGACAGAACAGATGATAGGTATTTTATTAATGGTCACTGAGTTATTTTTTACAAAAGGTAAATCTTAAGCAATGAAGGAAAATAAAGGGCAACAAGGTTGTTCTGACTAAATGAATCACTTTTAAAGCATCAAAGATGAATTTCAACAAATATTGTAATCTGTAATATTACTTTAAAATCACACCTGCACAATAGGGAATAAGAGAAACAAAGTGACTTACAGTGAACAGTGTGCTGCAGTCAGTATCCATTCAGGTGTGATCAAAGCTCCTCCACATTTATGATTTCCATCTACCTGAATAGATGCCATGTATGGTCTTGAGTGAGGTTTAACATCTTGACCTCCGATGATCTCCATGCAAATATCTATGGCAGGCAATAATAAATAAACAATAAATACGAAATGGTCAGCTCATAGAAAAATTGCTAGTTAACATAAAATTAGATCTGTTCTATACTTACAGCCTTGCAAGGCCAGGAAAATTATTTTAAAGGCAAGGATCACCATATTAATAACATCCATCATCTTCTTACTTGCATCAAAAAGAAGTGTAGTTTCATTTTAAGGTGTTTTCAGAAGGATGTGGTGACACTTCATCCTACAGAGCATAACACACTGATGTGGAAGGTTTACAGACTTGTGATATGTGTGATCATTTTGGAGTGAAATTAGCTGCGTTTTTTAAAGCGTTTGAGTTGACTGAAAACGTTATGAAATGCCACTAATTTACTTCTTATATGGTTTGGTTGAATATTTACGAAATTATTCTTCCCAACCTGTCAACAGAAAACCGATGAATGGCTTCACGGGGGAATTATGTTTTGTTTTGGCAAAAGAAGGGATTCGTACATAAGAACAGAAGAATTAGGAGCAGAAGTAGGCTATTTGGCCCCTCAAGCTTGCCCCGCCATTCAATATGGTCATGGCTGATCTATTCTAACTCCATCTACCCGCCTTAGCCCGATATCCCTTTATCCCTTTATCCACAAGAAATCTATCAATCTCAATTAAAGGATAACAGTTAGAAAGCAAAAAGCTGTAACTGACTTTTGGCATTAGTGATCTTTAATGTCTCCAAAATTGCTTGTCTTATTAAGAACATAAGAAATGCTAGATAAAAAAAAGACCAAGGTCCATCTTATTCGCCTTGCGCCTCCTGGCGGTTGCCTGGACATGTTCCGAACGACCCATGTACTATATCCCATAATGTTATTTCCTAAAGGAAAACTGTCTAAACTGTTATTGCTTCATGAGGAATCTATTATAAAGGCCCATCATTAGAGTATACTAATCATAGAGCTTCACCAGTGAAGTGCTCACCAGTGAGTGCTGTTCACAGAAGTAATTAACCTTAACTGTAATAACTGGAAAATAGATATTAATGGAGACTTTAAAAAGTGTTTTTGGACTGAGGTGCTGTAACAGATCAGGCTCAACTCTGCATTGAGTAGGCTGCCAACACTCATTACCAAGACGTAATGAATAATGATCACTTGAGCAGGGCTATGGAACTACATCCAGAAAGAGGAGGCCAGACCAGGAGGCATATGTAGAGTCCTGTAGCTCAGTGGTTAGAGCTCTCAACTCGCAAGCGAGAGTCCTGGCTTCTATTCCCAGGCAGAGTAAAATGTTGAGCAAGTTTCCTTAGTCCACACGACGCTGTTTACATAGTAGTAAGTAGCAACTTGGTTGTTAGTTAATTGGTGGATCACTTTTCTGGGATAATAATTCCTTAAAAAAAATTAGTTACTCAATCCATGACTGTTTGTGGGACACTGCTGTGCCCAATTGGCTGCCGAGTTTCACCCACAAACTATACAGTCAATTCATTTTACAGCATATTCTGTGAAGCGCTTTGAGTCATCTTGAAGATGTGATAAGGCACTACATCAAATGCAAGTTTTTTTTTATTATATGTCATTGTAGAGAAAATTAGGAAAAAAAACTACTGTATTTATTTTTAAAACAAAAGTAATGGTAATGGAAAAGTTAGTGACTTTAGAAACATGCTATGACATTTGGGATAGGTCAACAAAATTGTGCGAAGAGACCATTTTCTACAAGTCACAAACATCTGCAAGACTTGGGTTTTGAGATATGAGAGAGGTTTGAGAAGAGTGCAAAGGAAGAAAAACATGCAAAATTGGATGTGAACCAATAAGATAAATACCTGTGATAGTCAGATATGTGTGAATAGAGACTGATAGAATTGATCCTGCATGCATCAGATCTCACACATTAGGTGTGAAAAGCATACATTCTAAGACCCTGCTGAACACTTATGCTAACCACTACTGTTAAGTGTTTCTTTTAAGAAAAGACTGAGATAGAGCAGAAATAAGGCTCACTTTGTCTCTTGCAAAACGAGACCAAAGATCAACAGTCTATCAGTTTCAGGGTCTAGTCATCACCTCATGAAATTATAGAATCATACAGCACAGAAGGAGGCCATTCGGCCTATCGTGTTCTATGCCAGCTCTTTGAAAAGAGCTATCCAAATTAATCCCACTCTCTCCCCATAGCCCTGCAAACTTGCCCTCCCCAAATAATTATCTACTTCTCTCTTGAAAGTTGTTACTGAATCAGTTTCCACCACCCTTTCAGGAAATGCATGCCAGATCCGAACAACTCCCTTCTCCTCACCTCGCCTCTGGTTCTTTTAACAACTATTTCAAATTGGTGTCCTCGGGATACTGACCCACCCGCCAGTGGAAATAGTTTATCCTTGTCCACCCTATCAAATCCCCTCCTAATTTTGAAAACTTCTATTCAATCTCCACTTAACCTATTCTGCTCCAAGGAGAATAATCCTAGCTTCTCTAGTCTCTCCTGATAACTGGAATCCCTCATTCCTGGCACCATCTTGGTAAATCTCTTTTGCACTCTCTCCAATGCCTTGACATCCTTCCTAAAGTGTGGTGCCCAGAACTAAACACAGTACTCTAGCTGAGGCCAAACCAGTGTTTTATAAAGGTTCATCGTAACGTCCTGATTTTTGTATTCTATACTCCTATTTAGTCCTGTAGCTCAATGGTTAGAGCACTCGCTTTGCAAGTGAGAGACCTGAGTTCAATTCCAGGCAGGGCGAAACCTTGGGCAAGTTTCCTTACTCCACACGCCTAATAATAATCCCTCCAAAAACCCAAAACAATAATAAATTGGTCATTTTCAATCTACGACTGTTTGTGGGACATTGCTGTGCGCAATTGGCTGCCGCGTTCGCCCACAAATATACAGTCAATTCACTTTACAGTGTGTTCTGTGAAGCGCTTTGGGATGTCCTCCTGACGTGAAAAGCGCTATATCAAATGCAAGGATTATTATTATTATTATTATTATTATTATAAAGCCCAGTATCACGTATCCTTTTTTTTAAGTTTTAGGTCCATTTCCTGCTCAGATGTCAGCCTCTGTCAGAATTCTGTAGGTTCAAGCCAGACTTTGGGATTTTGAATTCATATGGTCTAAGTTGACACTCCAATGGAGTGCTTGGAGGACACTGCACTACAGAACCTTCAATAATACAGCCCAACTCCAGGATTGGATTAAAGTGTCAGCCTAGACTATGGAAGTTCAAGACTATGAGTTCCAAATCCCAACATGGAGCTCAAATTCACAATCTTCTGACTCAGGGGTGAGAGTGCTACTAACTCAACTTGTCTAACACTTTGGAAGTACAGATGATCAGGCGTTTGAAGAAAGCATGTGAAAATTGGGATTAAAAATACGAAGAGGTGCGACAATCTGATAAAACAGTAAAGCACCAATTCTTACAACTAAATGTTGACAAGATGGAAGCCATACTCCTTGGCTCCCATCAATGTCCTCTGTCTTGTGGCTATGACCTTCTCAATTTCCCCGGAATATCCCTCAGACTCACCGAACTGGTGGCAACCTAGGCATCAGGTTCGACCCACACCTGTCCTTCTTTCCTCACACCTAGTCCCTAAGCAGGAATGCCTTACTCCACCTCCGCCACATTGCCCGCCACTGTCAAATGCTCTGGGACTCTACCCTGCGTGAAGAGTGCTATATAAATGCAGGTTGTTGTTGTTGTTATGCCTATGTTCCCAATGATATGGAATCTGAATAATTGATCCAAATGCACAAGAACAGTTATGCAGTTTGCTTTATTTTCTATTTCAAACAAAGGCTCAAAAGAGAATAAGTGGTGCCATGTGGTGCAGTGGGATTCAATAAACACCTTGCTCTGAGCGTCAGTGCAGACTTAATGGGACAAATGACTTTCACTCTTAAATTTCTATCAATTATTACCAAATAATATAACTATGAAGAGTTATATTCTGAAAAAAAGCAGCCTCTTAAAGCAAGTTAGCAAGCAGACAGTACTGTGGATTTGAGTTCCATTTAGTTCAACCCAAGAGCAGGCAATAATGATATCAAGCAAAGAAATACAGAAATACGTTGTTTCTGCATACAAAGAAACTGATCCCAGTCAGTTTTGCTTCATTGTTGTATTGTAATTTGTGCCTTTAATTGATTTCTTAATCCACGTGACATGTTTACTGGATAGAAGCATATAGATGCCAGGCTTTTTGTCAACAGCACAACCCTTTCCAAAAGAGGCAACTCCAGAGAAGACAGGTTTACCGAAACGTTTTGTTTTACACAGTAAAGCATCACCAGCATCGCCCTGCAACAAAACAAATACAAATTATCACTCAACTTATATAAACATTAATATAACAATTCACACCATAATAAGTATACCACACTCCACTCCTTCAAACTCCAAAAATGTAAGGAAAGAGTTTACACCTCAAGCTTGTTTCTGTTTTACAATTATTATTATTATTATTTTCTAAGTTATTTTCTGTCTCCCCTTTTGGTTTCATATTTTGTACTAGTCTGTGATGGGAGGATAGGCTAATGGCCTATACATGTAATCTTGGTCAATAGTGAGTGCCCTTGAAGGTGATACAAGATATTTGTACAAACAGAGTGGCCTGAATTCCTTCACTTACTGAGGACAAATTCCTGTTATTCTTTGAATCACTGTGTAAATTATGCATGTTAGTTATACACAACGACAATTATTGTATACAAGGAATGGATAACTTACCACACATACACTGTTTTTACCCGTTTTGTCACCAGCACATATCATATCGTCAGTTATGACTGGATTCCGATTATAATAATTTTTACTGTTGCAGGTGGTTCTGTCTATGATTCTTACAGTTGTTTCCTTCAAAGTGTCAGATGACTCATCATCATCTACACTGTCCTGACCCCATCCTTGAACAATGCATTTTGTTTCAGGTTTGATATCTTTTGTTGATTTTGGCAGCGAAAGGATTGATACAAATTTATTCAGTTTAACAGGACGATCTAACTGTAACACACAAGAAAATCATAATAAAATGTAGACTATGCTTAAAAGTGATGTGTTTATGCCAGTTTTATTTCCCCAAGATTTTGCAATGCAATACATGTAAGTGAATCTATATTGGCAGATGAGGTTTAATCCAGAGAAATGCAAAGTAACGCATTTTGGGAGGAAGAATGAGGAGAGACAATATAAGATGATGGTACAATCTTAAAGAGTGAGAAGGAAAAGAGAGACCTGGGATTTCATATAAGCAAATGTTTGAAGGTAGCAGGACAGGTATATAAAGCTGTTAAAAAGCATATGGGATACTAGGCTTTATAAATAGGGGCATCAAATACAAAAGTCAGTAAGTTATGATGAACCTTTATAAAACACTGGTTAGGCCTCAATGAGAATACTGTGTTCAGTTCTGGGCACCACACTTTAGGAAGAAAGTCAAGGCATTGGAGAGGGTGCAAAGGGGATTTACCAGGATGGTACCAGGAATGAGGGACTTCAGTTATCAGGAGAGGCAAGAGAAGCTAGGATTATTCTCTTTGGCGAAGAGAAGGTTAAGAGGAGACTTAATAGAAATTTTCAAGATGATGAGGGGATTCGGTAGGGTGAACAAGGAGAAACTATTTCCACTGGCTGATGGGTTGGTAACCCGAAGACACTGATTTAAAATAGTTGTTAAAAGAAACAGAGGGGAGGTGAGGAGAATTTATTTCACACAACGAGTTGTTTGGATCTGGAATGCGTTGCCTGAAAGGATGGTGGAAACCGATTTGATAACAACTTCTAAGAGAGAAGTAGATAATTATTTGGGGAGGACAAGTTTGCAGGGTATGGGGAGAGATCTTGGGAATAGGATTAATTTGGATAGCTCTTTTTAAAGAGCCGCTGCAATCACGATGGGCCGAATGGCCTCTTTCTGTGCTGTATAATTCTATGATTCTAACAATATTACTGAGCCACAATGTACACTGTTCTGCGGATAATTTCAAAATACCCAGTGAATTCACTTTGCAGTATATTCTGTGAATCGTTTTGAGCAAGAACAACAACAAAATTACATTTGTAAAGCACCTTTCACGTTGGGACGACATTCCAAGGCACTGAACAGTCAGGGATCAGGACCCAAGTGTGGGGAACCCAGTTGTTAGTCGATTGGCAGATCACTTTTCCAGGGGTAATAATTCCTCAAAAAAAATTGGTTGCTCAATCTATAACTGTTTGTGGGACACTGCTGTGCAAAATTGGCTACCGGGTTTCACCTACGAAATATACAGTTAATCAATTTACAGTATATTCTGTGGAGGACCTTGAGACGTCTCGAAGATGTGATAAGGCCCTATATCAAATACAAGGATTATTTTTTTTAAATTATTATTGTAAAGCCTCCAAACCATATGATCTCAATGAATTTATCGATTCTGTGGATAATTGTACAGATGATATCATAATATATCATATTCCATACATTTGAGACAATAACACATTAACAAAGCCACAATTTTTACCTTAAGTAGCGCCAGGTTATTTTCCTCTGTCTTTTGATTATAGTTTTCACGTTTTTCCGCTATGGCTGTAAATTCCTGCCTTGTCTTGTTATTCTTCAAGGAAAGGGTTCCAAGGATCACACTTTTTTTCCCTTTGTGACGTTTGCTGAGGTGACTGTGTAAAGAAACTTTGTTACTTGGTGTATTTTTTAAAAAGGTTTTCAATTAGTTCAATCATATCAATATCAACATTCACATGAAAATGAAATAACAGCAAACATTCTGTTTAATTTACTGCTTTCATTTTAGGGTGAAATTCCTACTGGTCTATTTGTGGATACAAGTATAGTATCTTTTTATACATTTTTACCCATTGTTCACACCCAGTACACACAGATCAGTACAGTAATAATAATCATAATAATAATAATAATCATAATAATCCTTGCATTTGATATAGTGCTTTTCACGTCTTCTAGGCGTCTCAAAGTGCTTCACAGAATAGACTGTAAAGTGAAGTGACTGTATAATTGTGGCCGAAATGCAACAGCCAATTGTGCGCATCCTCTCTCACAAAAAGTTGTGGTATGAAGTGACCAATTTAATATTGTTTTATTTTCTTAAGGGATTATTATCAGGCATATTATTATCAGTGGATTAATTGAAACTAAAATTGGCTTACACCACCCTTAACTTATTCTCAGACTGAGACTTTTCTGTTTGCTACACTAATTATTATTAAATTTTGATTAAAGTTTCTTAATGAATGATAATTAATCGAAAATGTACAGCAGTTTGCTGGTACGATCTGGAAGTGGTTTGAGATGCCCTACACTTTGCAAATTACAACCTTCAAAGCTAGATAATATCTCATATTAAAAGGTATATTGGTGCTCATTTTGTTTTATTAAGTAACTATTAGTATAAACAACATGTTACAATACTTACACAATGCAGTTTGCTGTCGTCAGGATCCACTGGCGATGAATCAATGTTGCCCCACATTCATGTTTGTTTTGAAACTGAATGGATGCCATATAAGATCCTGTCTTCTTAACATCACGACCATCAATTATTTCCACACAAAAATCTACAGCACAAAATGAATACAATTGTTACAAATAATCGTTATTTATGGGAATCTTAAACCAGGTTGTGAACATACTTACAGCCTTGACTGACTAAGGCGATAATGATTACTGAGACGAATAATATTACTTGATGCATGCTGAGCTATTTGTCCAACTGCACAACTTTAGTCTAAGAGCAGTTCTACTTTATAACAGCTGGAGGATGTGGTATTCACAAGTCACGCAAGCTATGATCTTTGGCAGCTGTCGGCCCACTTCAGTTGGTAGCATTCTCACTTCTGATTCACAAGGCCATGGAACACAAGAGAGGTTTGGATGAAGGACTTCCTTTTGACTCCCATTTGATCTCATCCTTCCAGAATACCCACTCTAACATCCATTCGATACAGCAGCAAGTTATTTCTTAAATGTATCCCACTTCAATTATCCTTCCTGGAAACCCATCCCTCTGAATAAATTATTCAGCCTCTGAATAAAGAAATACTTCCTGGTGTCTGTGCTGCTGTCCTGAAATTAAGTTTTGCAACCATGAAACTGTGCCCTGAAGCAGGAGCAGACTGGCTATATGGGTAATCGGGATGTTTACCGAGTGCCCCGTGAATGGCTTCCGATACTTACCACCCCAGAGCCTGACATCCGGGTGGGTGTCAGGTCAGACCAGCCCAGAGCCCGCTCTCCCTGATGACCGACATCTACGATGGCCAATCACTGCCGAGATCCCACCCTCCTGTTTAAGCCCCAACCAAAGATTTTATATTCGCAAAGAATTTATGCTGAATTGAATTTGGGTAGTTCGGAACCGCAGGAAAGAAGGCATTGACGGGAGCCAATGAGTATGGCTTCCATCTTGCCGACGTTCAGTTGTCTGAAATTTTCGCTCATCCAGGTCTTGACGTCCATCAGACAAGTTGACAAGACATCAGTGGACTGGGAATTGCAGCTGGAGGAGGAGGAGGAGAAGTAGATTTGGGAGTCATCTGCATACATGTGGAACTTGACCCCATGCTGTGGATAACATCCCTGAGAGGGAGCATGTAAATGAGGGAAAGAAGGGGGTCAGGGACGGAGTTTTGCGGCACCCCATAGGTGACAACAACAACAACAAGATTCCATTTATAGAGCGCCTTTCACGTCGGGAGGACGTCCCAAGGCGCTGTACAGTTGGGTCAGGACCCGAGCAGGGGGGAAATGGTCAGGGTGAGGGGAGGGAAGGGAGGGAGCGAGGAGGGGGTAGAGAGTCGAGAGGGGAGCTGAAGGCACGGTCAAAGAGAAAGGTCTTGAGACCACCCTTGAAGGAGGAAAGGGAGGAGACAACGCGAAGGCACTGGGGGATAGAGTTCCAGAGCCTAGGGGCTGAGAGGCTGAAGGCCCGGCCACCGATGGTAGGGCGGTTGGGGCAGGGGATTTGGAGCAGACCGGAGCCAGAGGAATGGAGGGTACGGGCAGGTAAGTAGGGGGATAGTAGGTCAGAGAGGTAGGAGGGAGCGAGGCCGTGAATGGCCTTGTAGGTGAGGATGAGGATCTTGAATTCGATCCTCTGGGGGATGGGGAGCCAGTGGAGGCGAGCGAGGGTGGGAGTGATGTGGTCACGAAGCCTGGTGCGGGACAGTACACGAGCTGCAGAGTTCTGAATGACCTGCAGCTTGTGGAGGGAGGTGCCGGGAAGGCCGGCGAGGAGAGAGTTCCCATAGTCCAGCCTTGAGGTGATAAAGGCGTGGACCAGGGTTTCAGCAGCGTGAGGGGTGAGGTAGTGCCGTAGTCTGGCGATATTCCGGAGGTGATGGAAGGCGGTGCCAGTTGTGGCGCGGATATGAGGGAGAAAGGACAGCTCAGGGTCGAACAGAACACCGAGGTTCCTGACTGGCTTTGAGAGGTGGAGAGTGCAGCCTTGGATGCTGATGCTGTCAGCGCCTGAGGTGCGGAGGCGCTGACGCGAGCCAATCAGGAGGGCCTCAGTTTTACGCACGTTGAGCTGAAGAAAGTTGTCTCTTGTCCAGGACTCGATGTCGGACAGGCAGCTGTCAGGACATCGGTGGTCGTGGAGTTGAGGGTAGAGGAGGAAAGGTAGAGTTGGGTGTCATCCGCATACAAGTGGAAGTTAACCCCATGTCTGCGGATGATGTCACCGAGGGGAAGCATATAGAGGGTGAAGAGGAGGGGACCGAGCCCTGAGGGACACCGCATGAGACAGTGCGGGGGCTGGAAGAAAAACCATTCGTGGAAACAAAGTGAAGACGGTGGGAGAGGTACGACCTAAACCATTCAAGGACAGGGCCTTAAAGGTTGAGTTGGGAGGACAAGCGGTGGAGGAGGATAGCGTGGTCGACCGTATTGAATGCTGCCGATAGGTCGAGGAGGGCGAGGAGGCAGAGGGAGCCCTCGTCGCAGATGGTCAGGATGTCATTGGTGACCTTGACCAGGGCAGTTTCTTTGCTATGGGCAGCACGGAAACCCGACTGAAGGGGTTCGAATAATGAATGGGTGGAGAGGAAAGAGCGCAGCTGGGAGGCGACAACTCGTTCAAGGACCTTGGACAGGAAGGGGAGGTTGGAGATGGGCCGGTAGCTTGATAGCTGCGACGCATCAAGGGAGGGTTTTTTCAAGGTGGGAGTGATGGTGGCAGTTTTTAAGGGAATGGGAACAGAGCCAGAGGAGAGGGACAGGTTGACGATGTCTGTGATATGTGGGGCAAGGAGGTGGAGCTGGGAGATAAGGAGTGGAGTGGGGATGGGGTCAAGGGAGCAGGTGGTGGGTTTCAGGGATAGGATGAGTTTGGCGACAAAGGGTGGGGAAACGGGTACAAAAGTGTGTAGGGGAGGATGGGTAGGAGTCGGAGTGTGGAAGGACGGGGGTGGGGGGTGGGTGGATGTTGGAGGGGAAGTGACCGCGGAGTGGATTCCCTTGATTTTGGATTCAAGGAAATCCAGCATCTCCTCACAGTGAAGGTTGGAGGAGATGACCTGCGTGGGGTGGCGGGGGGGACGGAGGAGTCGGGATGTGGTAGAAAACAGTAACCTGGGGTTGTTCTTCGCCTCCAGGATTATCCTGGAGTAGAAGGACAACTTGGCCGAGGCTAGAGTGGAGCGGTAGATTTTGAGGAGGTCCAGCCAGATTTGTCGGTGGACCGTTAGGCCAGATTTGACGCAGGTGCGTTCAGCGGCCCGCACCTGGCTCTTCAGTGAGTGGAGGTGGGTGGTGAACCAGGGGGAGGAGCAAGAGTAGGAGACAGTACGGGAGGTGATGGGGGCAAGAATGTCGAGTGTGGAAGAGAGGGTGTTGTGGAGGAGGGTGAGAGAAGAAAAGTGGTCAGTGAGGGTTGAAGGCCAGAAGGAGAGGTGTTCAGAGGACTCCAAGGCAGCAGTTAGGGATTGTGGGGGTAACTTCTTCCAGGGGCGGTAGAAGATGGTGGTGGGTCTGGTGGAGGTGGGGAGGAGGGTGGAGGTGGTGAAGGAGATGAAGTGGTAGTCGGAGACGGCCTTGTCGGTGATAGTGACATCCGAGACGCTGAGGCCCCGGGTGATCACCAAGTCGAGTGGGTGGCCGTGACTGTGAGTGGGGGAGTTGATGTGGAGGGAGAGGTTGAGCGAGGAGAGCAGGGAAGAGAAGTCTGAGGAGATGGAGCAGGAGGGGGTGAAGTGTAGGTTGAAGTCGCCCAGGATGATGAGGCGATCAGAGCAGAGGCAGAGAGATGTAAGAAGTGTCGAAATATTAGAGATGAAGGTGGGAGAGGTTTTAGGGGGCCGGTAGAGGAGGAGGATTTTGAGTGAAGGAGGAGGGGTGGGAGGAAAAACGGTTTGCCAAGATGTATTGTTGGCAGTTTGTCAAGTAGGACTCGAATCATGTGAATGCAGTCCCACTAAGGTGGATGAGGGTGGAGAGGTGGTGGAGGAGAGTTGCGCGATCAACTATGTCGATCGCGGCAGAAAGGTCGAGTAGAATGAGGAGGCAGAGGGAGCTCTAGTCACAGATAAAGAGGATGCTATCTGTTACTTTGACGAATGCTGTCTCTGTGCTGTGGGCAGTGCGAAAATTGGACTGGAGGGGTTCGAGTTGGGAGTTGATGGAGAGGTGTGAGAGAAGTTAATTTGCAACCATGCAGGAAGGGTAGGTTTGAAATGGGTCTTAAGGTTACCTGTTCAAGCTGCACATCCTCAACCACCACCCCACCCCACCCCCCACTCACCCACCCCCCTACCCCAACCACACACACACAACACACGTAAGGACATTGTAGTTATGCTTGACACTCCAATGCAGGGCTGAGGGAGAACTCCATTGATGGAAGTGCGATTGTTCGAATGAAGCATTACACTGTGGTCCTGTCTCCCTGTTCAGATCAATCTTACAGATCTCATGACACTATTGAGTAAGAGAAAGGAATTTTTACCAGTGTCCTGGTCAACAATCCTTCAGACAGAATTGATTTCATTCATGTTTTTTTGGAGGGGACATTGCTGTGCACAAATTGGCTGCCACCTTTGCCCATAATTGCACAGGTAGTACATCAACAACAAAATTACATTTGTGTCGTACCTTTCCCGTCAGGAGGACATCCCAAGGTGCTGGACAATCAGTGTTTTGGACCCAAGCTGGGGGTCGATATCGGGGAGGGTGGAGGGCAGTGTGGGAAGGAGGGTGATTGAAGTCACGGTAAAAGAAGAGGGTCCTGAGATGTGTCTTGAAGGAGGCAAACGAAAGGGCGAGGCAGAGGGACTGCCGGATGGAATTCCAGAGGATAGAGGCAGAGTGGCTGAAGACTCGCCCGCCAATGATGGGCCGGGCAAGGCGGGGGACATGAAGCAAGCCAGAGCATGCTGAGCGGAGGGAGTGGATAAGTTGGAAGAGGTTAGGAAGTTGCAGAGGTAGGGAGGAGCAAGGCCAAGGAGGGCTTTGAAGGTGATGACTAGGATCTTGAACGTTATTCTCTGTGTGATGGGAATGGGGGTGATAGGGTCACGGAGCCTGGTGTGGGAGAGTTCTGGATGATCTGCAGCCTATGGAAGGAAGAGATGGGGAGGCCGACAAGCAAGGAGTTTGCATAGTCGAGCCTCAATGTAATCAAAGCACGTATGAAGGTTTAGGCAGCCTGCGGTGTGAAACAGTAGTGGAGCCGGGCGATGTCGCGGAGGTGGGGAAGGCAGA